ACCTTACATGTGTCCCGTCAGATTCAATCTATTGACAATATTTGTTTCTTTCTGTGTACTGCAGAATCGAACGTTTTTCTTCCAGCTGCCCGAACGACACTCCCATATAAATCTCATAAACACAAAAAGAAGTTTTCATTGTTGGATTGTGAAGGGGAAATGGTGATGTAATATGAAATTGGGCGTGACAGAAGAAACAGGACCTATTCCTCAGTATAACAAGCGACGGGGATTTATAAAGGGGGTCACCGCCACCAATTAGGCAGAAGCTCCGGCTGTCGCCCAGCAAGCAACTTTCGCGGAACTTACCGAATTCCCTCCACAACCTTATCTTAGTCCTATGCGGGAAAACGATAGGGGTTTGAGGTGTGGAAGAGGGGGGTGGGTGGAAGGGCTTTTTTTCACACATTCAGCCGTCTGTCGCGGAGTTCCAAACAACCACATAAATTTTATCCTGCTAGACCCGATCGGTTCAGATTGCTGTTGCCTTGAAGTGCATCCTTCACCTCCTGTCTCTAGGCGTAGCCGGTTGTCGCTAACTAACCCTAGGTGTAGTTCGCTGCCGACACCTACCGCATGCGACCGTTGTTCAGCATTTACCAACTACTCCCTGCCCTTAGGTTTTCTAGTCTGAGACCGTACCGGGGCCCCTTACCGAGCACCCTCGCGATCATGATCACTTCAATCATGACAGCATTTTTTGTAAACTCGTGCTTACTTCGCACAATTTCTCCTTCATGAGATCGTTATCTCTTTTTACCATCCATGACCACGCTCTGATTTCCTTTCTGCGAAATTTCCACTACTACCTTACCTAGATGACCAGCATTCCAAAACTATTTTTTACTAATTTATAATTACACGGTAAATGAAGCATGTCGAGCATCTCCAGCAGCACACGCAATCCGTTATGCAAAGAATCGAAGCAACATGGATTGAGAGGTTGGAAAACGGAGAGGATGGTCTTGATATTTTACATAAATACTTAAAGAAGTTAAGATAACAAAATAGCTTCTTGTAGTAGAACTTACATTCCCTATCAATCCTTCGAGCATTTTTGAGAATATCACACCGAGAGCATGAAATCCGTCCATCATAAGTTGAAAAAAGTTTGAAATTGCTGAAATTTAAACAAATAAATAAAGCTGATGGATAGTCAAGTAGAAAGAATCGAAAATCCCAAATTTTATACATTTTCATTTTCGCTTTTTGTTATCATTACAGTCAGAAAAAATCCTCAGAAGAGGCCTAGCATCTCTCCATTTTGAAAATATGTATGAGTGCTGAATTTTTGAGTTTATTTATTTAGTTATTAATGGTGCGTCTTGTGGACGCGCTTCGACAATAAAGAGAGAAATCCTACACTTCCACTGAATTGTTACCTTGAGCTTTTCAAGGTTCCTATATAGTTTTCAGGCTCATGGTTCGGCGGAATCGCCTTCTTCCGAGCTTGAAGGGATCGTAAGGATTTGTGATCCCTTCAAACACATCTGCTGCCCGCTCAAGTTCAAGACCCCCAGGGCACGCAAATGATTCAGAGGAGGGCCACTCACCGTAGCTTTGTGAATTCTTCGAAACTATCCAACTATCGTTGTTAGAAACTGATCAATGTCAGATGGGGTAGGTGTTCATTCGATGTCACTGCAGAAAGACCAACCTCCCTAACGCCGTGGCTCCTTCGAACTATTGGATTTCAATGAAGACCTACTCCAGCTGACACAGCTGGTCGAATGATCATCGATTACTAGGTAAGTGAAGAATCCACTAAGCTACGGTGAGCGGCCCTTTTTGAAATCATGACGTGCCCTAGGGGTCTCGGACTTCAGCAGGGCAGTTCGATCGGATAGTCACGATCCTTAAGAATCTTTTAGGCTCTTAAGAAGGCGATTCCGCCGAAGCGTCAGTTTTATAAAGCTTATATTCCACACTTATACACATCCCTTATGAAGAGTTTGAGAGAACTACTCAATAATACAGCAGTCATGCCGAGTTTCATAGTAAACCGTTCGTGGAAATATGCATGAGTTTCCACGAACGGTTTACTATGAAACTGACAAGCTGTGGTAAGCGTATAATTTGAGACCTAGGCCTAGTTCATGGCATCTCAGTAGACACCGCCAGTGGCAGTACTACTTCTGGTATGGAAAATTAGTCAAGAATTACAAAGTCACTTACATTCTTGCACTTCGCCGTACAAAACGGACGATTCGTGCCTCATTTCGTGGAAGAATCCACCCGGTGGCTGTCTTTCGCAAAGTGCGTCAAATAGCGGAGCGAAAAGCCACGAGAATGTGCTAAAATTCATAAGATTTAACAATTAATAGGAACTATTCAGTGAAGTAGATCCCACTGGAGCACCTCGCGTTGTGCACTAGCTTCACCTATATTTAATGGCATTAAAAATTCTTATAAAAAAATATAAAATTCCTTATTGTCTGAGAAAAGAGTTCGCAGGCAAACTAGGATCAAGAAACTACCCCGAAGACCAAGGAATCGAGGTTCAGATAGGTCGGTCACGCCACTCCGTGACGACCGTTGGATCAATACGGTTACTGACCGGACTCCTCGGGACCTTCAACGAATACCAGGATGTCCACCAGCGCGATGATCGGACTTCCTCACGGAAGTTCTGAACGAAAGGAATGCTATGCCTCGTGTCCATCGAGCGAGGGGGGTCCACTGGACTGCAATGGCTTGCGAACAAGGGACGGAACGAGACATTATTGGGGTTCGCCCAAGCAACTTGACGATCAAATGGGCTCAGAAGGAAAAGGTTAGGTCCAACTGGCCACTGTGTAAACATGGATTATTCTCATGCGACTCACTGAGAAGGCAAGGAAAGACGAAAACGATGGAATCGTGTCAAAAGAAAATTGAGCGGGGTCGAATTCGCAGTTAAGGAGGTTCCAGTGGCCAAACGCCTGCACACTGCACAAAGAAGCCTTGACGCGAAAGCGCAGCCCACCGATGAAAAGTTTTTGAAGACAGTTGAAGGTATCCAATTTTAAAATGGTAAAAGTAAGCGCAGGTTGAGTTTCTCAGGGTTTTTTATTCACCAGCTTAACTTTTTAACGAGCTTTAAAAGTTCCACTTCTCACCTGCAGAAAAACCCTTCCGGTTCCGGATAATACAGATGCCGAAGGTATCTGTAGAGAGCAATTGAGAAGAACAGTCCTGCCAATGAAGCGAAGACCAGCGATGAAGTGCATGCTGCCTCCCTAGAAAATATTTTATTATTTTGTCGCTGCATAAAACTATATATTTTTTTATTAAAAATTTGGGCATGTGTATGTAATGTGGATACTGAAAGTACATATTTTATAAAAGAACTGAGATAACCGAAGACCTACTTCACTTCTGGCGGGACATCTTGCACAACTTCACTGACGACGTCGTTCATAATTTCGCCAATTGCGCGCAGATTAGCCGGACAACCACAAGGGTCAATCACCTGTAACAATTTTAATTGAATATTTTACCTTTTCAAACTCCCTATTACCGGCGTGAAAGGAGCAGTAGCCAGCGGTGTGGCTCCGTATGAATGACCAAACTTTACATCGAATCTAACCTCAAAAGCGGGCCATTATCACTCTAGGGCCGATTTACCAGTACCCAACCGGTCTGGAAGAATGAAACCACGGGATTACGCAGGCTAGATTCGAGCCTTTTGAATAATGCTAGAATATTTTCACGTACTATAAAATAGAAGCGGAAGTGGCATGTGTGGCGCAACTTTTGGGCCCCACAGCTTATAGTCTTTGTCGGAAAAGCAACTCAAGCTTTCGAATTGCTGGATACAGTAGCATTCTCCATGGTATGAGACTTCATAAATCGTTTTTGTAAAATGTTGAATAATTTTTTCGAATGAGCGTATTAAGGGCTACGGATCATTTCTAGTTATATCAGTCTTGAAACCTTTTGCGTCCCATCAGAACGGAGGTGAACCAAACAAACAATGGAACAAAAACTAAGCAGTCACGTCGCCGAAAAATGGTAGACAGAGATGTTTACTTTTACAATTTACTTCTATGCTAGACAAGTCCCAGGTTCAAACTTCATAAGGATAAAAAAGGATAACGGTTTTGGCGTTAAACAATCCCGTCTGAGGGATGCGCCTTTCATTCGACTTCCATTCAGAATCGTAGTGACCAACGCACGCGTATGTGGCCCACACAATCAATTGCGGTGACAAGCTGTTGTACAAGTCAGTGCTTTTATCCTCTCAGAGGAGTCTGCTACCAATTCACCGACCCCGGAGGGAGGGAAAGGCCTGGTTGGCCTAGACGGGCATCGATCCGATTCGAACTCGTGATCATACGCGTGAGATAGTGCGCCACTTGCCACTACACCACCACCTCCATACAAATTTGATGGTAAATTAAAATAAGGAAACTTCAGGTTCTAAATACCAATCCCGAGCTCCTATAGTTCCATCTTATGAAGTGCAGCACAGAAAGTAAGCAGCGAAAAGTGATTTGTGAACTCCATGTAGTAACATAATAACAATAACATTAAAGTTAATAACAATAGCATTGATAATAATATAATAATAAAAATGAAAAGAGCGCTGAGCTCTGTGGTAAACTCTTCTCTGATTAAACAGGACCCGAACCCAGCTCGAGCCTCCGTTTTTCTGGAAATGGAGTCTGTCCTATTACACCATCGAAATCCATCCTCCCACCATAAAGATTGAAAACGCAACACAAGTCAGAAAATGTAGGTTTAAAAAGGCCATACTTTACGAGAGAGGTGGAAACAAGGATAACTGATTTCAAAAAAAAAATTGATGAAAACGAACCTCTGAAGATTCCACGATCGTGGGTCTCACAAGACCATTTTCATCAAACTTGACCCCTTCGTCCCTTTCCAAAACCGTTTGTCCAACTGATGAATCACCAACAGATTGCATGCAGTGAGAGTCGTCAATTTCAGAAATGATCACTTCAGTGCCTCCAGCAGGTGGCATGAATTCCAGCTCTTCAACTGATGGAATGGTCACCTCTGAAAGAACAGCTATACAACATATGTAGAAGTTTCATTTTTTCTACGAAATCCACAAAAGTTGAGGGGACGATATTCAAACAACAAAGATCGATGAATAACTTCAGCGATCACGAAACAATGTTAAGATCAAAAACTGAAAAAGAAGTTTTGGCAGTTCTATGCATAAAAGAGTACACAGGCTAGGTTAATTTGTCGAGGATAAGCCAAGCTCTCCAACCATCGCATTTATTAACAGGAATTATAGCAGCATCCAAACAATGATGTCATTAAACGTATGCAGAAATAGCGCACTAGATAAGGTGATACTGTATTGTTACGATGTTTTTGTTTTTTTTTCTTTCCAAGGGGAAAAACAGTCTGTTCGTCTTTAGCATGCAAAATGCGAGCTAATTGTAAGATAAGAAAAGAAATGGTTTTATATATCCTATAAAGAATCCACAGAGAGGTGAATCAGATGCAATAGGACCAACAAAGGTAAAGTTTATGTCGCTGATCAATGCCGGTTCTGGAATGCGCCCCACATCCGAGGTAAGTTTATAACTGATTAATAGCGTCCCCTTGGACCTAGAATATTCAAACTTGACATGCTGCCAAGCGACCATGCTACAAAATACTTGCTTTTTGGGAGGCTAATCGAAAATACGAAAGTCTCAGCACTAAATGGTTCTGCGTGGGAAAGCGTTGACGGGTCATAAAGGAGAAATTTTCGGGGCACTAATCAAGCTTTTCTGAGGGATGCGCCTCCGTATTCGATTCAATTCATAAACTTAGTAGCGTTCGAACCCTTATATGACCTATACGATGGATTGCGGCGGCCAGCCGATGTCCAAGTCAAAGTTTTAATGCACCCAAGGGTCTGATACCAGCTAACCAACCCGTAGAGATAGGTTTGCTTGCGTAGATGAGTACCGTTCCAGTATCGGATTCCCGGTCTAACTGGTACAACGATACGTACGTGATAGTGTGCACCACTTCCACTACACGAGCTTCACCCACAGCCAAAATTATAACTGGAAAAAGATATGGAAACTAAGACGGAGGGGTGGAGTTCACACTTAAGTAGTGTGGGTAGCAGCAAAAAGAGAAACAGAGTATTTCAATGAGTTGCTACAAAGAAAAGGAGGCAGCCCTTTCTGTTCAAGTCAAGGGGATAGAATACCATGAACGTAAACAAAGCAATCAATATCAAGTTCAACAACACATCCTAAAAGAGTATGTTACATGTTGGGATCGATACTATTACCATAAAAAATGGTGCAGCAGAAGCCCCCAAAAGTTTTCACTCAATTAGCTCCAAACACTGGCCTGCTGGTGTTTTCCTTACAATTAGTTTGTACTTACTGCTCTAACTCTCTGTTGATAACTCTAATTACCCACTTTCTCCCCTACATCAGCCAACCATGATGCTCTACGACACACAAGTGGGGCAGAGAAAACAACAGAAAATAGATGCCACTTACGTAGTACTGTAAATGAGAGAAGCTGTAAGTAAGTAACAAGTAAACACGCTACCATGCCACAAGATACGTACTTGTTGGAAAGCTAATCGAAAACTTGAAAATCTCAGCACCAAATGGTTTTGCGTGGGAAAGCGTTGACGGGTCCCACTTTCACTCGGATTTGTATACAATAATGGTGTTATTTACATCAACTCACGGTGACGATCCGTGATTGCAGCGTTTTACCCACCCCTCCCTTTCCCCAACCCCGTGTCCCTTGCCCAGATCTCTTTTCATGTGCGAGTTAGTGAAGACGACTATGTGTGTGAAATTAATGACAGGGTATTCCCCTCCATGCGCGTTAGTAGGCAACTGCAGACTGCTACATGAGTAGAACTAAATGCGACCTACAGGGAAGTTCAAGACGTATTTTGCAGGACATACAATGGACTACAAAGTACACCTGGAGTTCATACCAACGACTTTTTTTCGTCAGCAATCAGCTCTCACAAAAACGGGCAGTTCTCCCGCTAGGTTGACCTTGTGACGCATGGTCAATTCTCGAAAACAGTCGGTGTAGAGAAAGGAATTTGAGGAAATCTTTCTTGATGCCACCGGTTGGGTAGGAAGACTAGGAAGTGAACTGGTGCTGAAGGTCAATGCTACCGGAGTTTTTTCAGAGAATTCAACTCAACAGCAAGATCTTCAAGCGTATCCCCATCAAAAGTACTAGTAATTATAAGAACCAATTAATCTGGAAGGATGTTCGACCTGATTGACTGAGCAGACTCAGCCAAAACAGATCGAACAACTTGATCCGAAAGCTTGTGAGAGGTGTAATAGACTCCCGCGGGTTTTGATCAGGGGTTCATATCTTCAAATCTGTGCATGGTACTGACGCCTTTTTTTCGGCATCACCAATCTGTACAGGACCAATATTGGAAAGAAGGATTGGAAAAGAGTTCTCCACTGCAAAGTGCGAAGGCAAAAACATTAGATGAATTTTTTTTATTTGTTGTAGAGTGAACTCGATTTATTTAGCCATAAAAAATGAAAAATTCATTCACTCATAAAGATAAAAAATATGAATTGTATGCTGGAAGAGAGTGAAAGGGAGCGAGGGCCTCCATCAATTCGATCGGAGGCATCATCCACGAAGGCAAAGGTCGTTTCATCTCAACCCCAGTCATTATATGAAGCTAAGAGTGAGCGAGAATACTCGTGAATGGAAAATTAGGAGTTTGATGCTTTTTGGACCGTTGCCAACGACGTACACCATCAGGACTGACCAACACAAACATATTCACTTATCGACTCCGCAGTTGCAAATTGACAGCTGCTCGGAACAAAACCGGTCCTTGTTGTTTACTGAAGTGGTCTCGAAATAGTACGTGACTTGTTGACGATAGTAAAATTCACGACTGTTTCTCACGGGTAGTCATCCAGCTAATAATGCCTTCCAGTGGATCCCTTCCAGTGAAAAATGAGATTGTAGGAAAAAGAAAAGAAGAGTAAACAAGAAAACAAACAAATAAACTTTGGTGAGAAAGCACTGAGGACGGAAGGGAGTGAAAAAAGTGAACGGAATGAAAGAAAAGGAAAGAAAGAGAAAATACGAAAGAACGGGAAAAACGGTAAGAACAAAGAGCTGGAGTGAGGGAAAGAGAGATAGGCAGAGGCATGGCACGAAGAAGGAAGCAAAAAATAAAAAAAAAGAAATAGGGAGAAAATAAAAAGAAAGAAAGGAAGAAAAGAAAGAAAAAAAAGAAGAAAGAAAGGAAACACAAAGAAAGAAAAGGAAAGTAAGGAAAGAAGGAAGAAGGAAGGAGGGAAGGAAGGAAAGAAAGAAAGAAAAGAAGGATGAAATGGGATGGCGTTACTACTTTTAAATACGGAAGAAACATGTTTCGACTTGTTTTTCTTGTTAACTGCTGTTATTCCGCCGCAGTAGCCGAAAAGCAATTTGGACCTGGAAAGCTCAAGTACAGGTTCGAGTCTAGTCTGAGGCCAAAGTTTTGCTCACGAATTACCTTTATCCTTGTGAGGTTCAAGAAACAATTTGGTACTTTCCTACGACAACCCCAATTATGATAACCGTGATGATGAAGTAAGGAGAAATGTTTTCGCAGGAAAAGAGGGCTGAATGAGAAATCGTTATGCTTTCACTTTGAATTTGTAAATCCAATTCTATATATAACTCCAAACTATGTTAGGACCCATTAAAAAAGTTTCCTGTTATGGCTCAAAAAGAAAATCATTTCATTAGATGGCAAAAAAAGAGCAATTCTTTGGGAAGAACCTCATAGGACAACTGAACTACGTTAAAGGACTCCGCATACTTCCGAATTATCGTGTACTTACTAAAAATAATAATAGCAAGTCAATAAAGTTTTTTAGAACCCTTCTTCTGCTTCCTCTACATGCTATTGCAAACACAACTCGAATTTCACGTATGTTTTCAGATGAATAAATGAATTGAAGTGTAAAACGTCTTCGGCTATAAAGGAATCATTCAAAAAGGTCAAATATGTATGTGACTACAGGATTTCAGTCCTTACGAAATGATAAAAAAGATCTTTACGAGGTGATAGAATGATAAAGAGCGCGAGTTCCAAAATCTTGCTTGATTCAGCTCAATGATGCCATCCCTTTGATAAGAAAAAGAAGCGAATGAACTTGAAGTATCAGACAGTGATTGCCTGGTAAAAGTTGACTGTCGAAGACCAAATGAAACTCAAACAAATATCTTTTACAATTTTCTTTTAACCACGATTCTCGAAAAACCCTCTTCTGATAACCACAATTCTAACGGTATGCCGCGAGTAAAGGGTGGTCCGCGGTCCGGATCTGATGGTGAGAAATTG